CTACCATCGTTTGATTAGTCATCCGATAAAAGAGTGCTTTGTTCTGAAAGATAAAATTCAAGAACTTTTGGACTCTAAAATTATCGAACTCCCTCCTCAAGAGAAAGCATCTGCTAACCCAATCACTATCGACAATGATAATGAAGGTGAATAGGTTGTTTATCAGTCAAAAAGCATGAAGAAAAAACAAAATGCCACAGTGAAAGCTAGAAGTGTGGTTGATTCAACGACACAAGGGCCAAAAGTTTCCAAAAAGCAAAAACCAAAAGTTTCTAGGAAACAGAAAAAAGCCAAAGTAAGTAAGAGAAAAGGAAAGAAGAACCCAAAGAAGTAAAAAGGGAAGAAATTGGTCCCTGATGAGCAGTTAGAGTAAGGTCCTTTTGTTCCAGTCACAATGAAGGAATTTCTACCTTCAAAATTTCAATCTGTGGAGTTGCAGACATACTTTGATAAAAGAATGGAGGAAAAGTTTACTTTGGCCCCTTGCCTAACCATCATTGTTTTGAGTGACGACGAGGAAGATGATGGTGAAGTTGGTTCAAAAGTTAGGAAAGAAGATTGCATTACATCTCCTATCCACATACCTGACTCACCAGAGTATACACCAACTTCTCCAGAATACACACCAACCTCACCAGAGTATACACCAGCTTCTCCGGAGTACACAACAGAAGCCTTTTCTCCAAAATATTCGCCAGTACCACCAATGTACTATCAAAGCACTCCAAAATATGTAAGGGGAGCAAAACAAGGAGACACCAGGTGTAGGTCCGACTCTGAGCTTGTGAAAAAGGCTAAAAAACGACTACACATCAAGGATGATGAGGTGAATGGCAGGTGTAAGTCAGATGATGAAGTATGGAAGCATTCAAGTAAACAAGCAAAGTCATCTCAAGAGGATCGTAATGAAGATTGGGAACTTGACTTTTCGCCTGATGGTTCACCATACACATCCCCAGCTAGGACATACGATGGAGAAAGTGTATCAAGTGACCATTTTGACTTTCCTTGTAATGTCATCACTGTGGATATAAATTTTGAAGAGCGAGAAATGCATATCATTCGCAATCCAGGTGATTATGAGAAAGCAAAAATTGAAGCTAGAAGGGAAACGAAACATTAGGCAAAAGTAACAGTCTCTTTGAAAGATGAGGGTTTTGAAGCCCATCAAAATTTGATTATTAAAAGAAATCAAATTTCTGGACACCCTTTCCCTAATTGGGTCGAATGGGTTTAGTTCCCACGAGGATATGCAGTACCTCGTTTTCCTTTATATAATGGGACAGGTTGTCCAAGGCGCCATTTCGTTCGTTTCCTTGCACAATGTGGAAACACAGTAAAAAGTCAGGCGTTACTTCTATGGCAGTTCGTTCTTTCTTTGGAAGGATGGACAGCATATTGGTACTTCAGCCTACCACCTAATTCAATCCCAGATTGGGACACCATGGCTGATCGATTCTATAGGACATTTTATAAACCATGGCCAATAGAAATTGAGATTTCAGAACATTTGGATGACGAAGCATCTTCTCAAACATATGATTTCATAGAAGGCACAATTGAGGAGAAGATTGAAACTGCCATTGACCTTCGAGAGATGGGCACTTATCGCCCAAGGGATTTGTTCCCTTTATGGGTAGAGCAAACATCATTTCCTGAAGGATACGAACTTCCAAATTTTGTCCTATATGAGGGGTATGGAGATCCTCAAAAACATATTAGGCGTTTCTTGAAACAGTGTGGGGAAACAGCTCAAAATCAAGCACTTTGCCTAAAACAATTTCCCTTTTCTTTGGAGGGGATCGTCTTTGACTGGTATTGCTCCCTCGATGGAGTCGTGGTGCCTAGTTGAGAGACCATGAAGAATGGTTTTGAAGAATCTCAATGCTTTTATAGGCGTGACTCCCGGTACCTAAGAAATGGGAGAAGAATGTAGCTCCAAGAAGATGGAGAAGTGACAGATGATGATGATCACCCTGCAGCTGGACCAGTTAACATGGTCCAAATAGGTGAGGGAACAAAAGAAGTTGAGGTCAACGAAAAGGCGGTTGCTGAAGTATGCCAGACTTACTTGACCTACCAGAGGAAATTACGAAATCCTCCGGACCCTCAAACGTCAGAAGTTCCACAGGTTTTGCTGTAGGAAGAGCAAGTGAAATATGATGTACTAGCTCATCTAAAGAAAATTCCAGCATTATTGAGTGTATATGATGCACTGAAAATGTCTCCAGAGCTTCGAAAGTCTTTAATATATGCCCTGTTTAAGCCAGAGGATTTCCACAAAGAAATTGAGGGTAGACATCAAGAGAAGACAACTACATGCATGGCTATGGTAACCTTTGATGACAATGACATGTGTGCTGAAATGGCAGACCATAATCGGCCTTTGTTTATAACTGGGCTTATCCATGATGTGAAGATTTCTTGAATTTTGGTTGATGGAGGATCTGCGGTAAACCTCCTGCCTCGAAGGGCCTTAAACCTATTAGGGATTCGAATTTCACAACTGCGCCCAAGTCGTCTGGTCATTCAAGGATTTAATCAGAATGAACAACGCCCAATGGGAAAGATTGAATTGCGAACTAAGTTTGGGGATATTGAAGAAAGCACTGAGTTCTTGGTCATTGATGTAGACACCTCCTACAATGCTTTTCTTGGGAGACCATGGATGCATAATCACATGTAGTGCCATCAACTTATCACCAATGTATCAAGTACCCGTTGCCTTCACCCAAAAAAGAGGGGACAATTGTGGCTGACAATGATCCATTTGGAGAAGTAGAGGCCTATTATGCTGATGCTCGCTTCTATACAAAGACTTCACAAAGAAAGGGAAAAGATGTGAAAAAGTCTGAAGATACTCCGAATGTCAAAGACGCTCTAGAGTCTACTCCAGTTTCAACAAAAAGAACTTTTCGATATGTGCCAAAGCCCGAAAGGAACTGGGGGCAAAGGCTCTAGCCCCAATAAATCCAATTTTGGATCTCAAGGGTGAGTTCACGTTGCCATTAAGAAGGACAGAATGCACCTATGTGGAGAAATATAATAAGATTGTGGTCCCTTCTAAAGGAAAAGGGTCGAAACCCATCATATTCCACTCACTTGGAGATGTTGAACAGAAAGTGAAAGTTGAACAAGTGCCAGAAGAAAACATCTCGAGTTTTGAGAAGCCTACTTTCAGTGCAGAAATTACACAGATGTTGGTAAAAGTTGGTTTAGATCCTGAAAAAATACCAGGAACAATGACACCCTTTAACTTTGCATTAACACCTTCGCAGAGGCAGGCTATCCAGCAAGGCGGTATTATCACCGCTAGGACAGAAGGGTTAGGCTATCGGGGGGATGAGGAAAAATTTCTAGTAAACATGACTATCACTCAAGATGTGTTGGAAGATGTTGACCAAGATGAAGCTCAACCTACACCAATAGAATTTGAAACAGGAGGCCAAGCCACCGTGGATAACCTTTGTGAAATAAATCTGGGTGATGAAAAAGAAAACAAACTAACCTTAATTAGTGCAAATTTAAATGAAGAAGAAGCTCAGCAATATATTTCCTTTTTAAGGAAGTATCGTGACATATTTGCATGGAACTACAGTGAGATGCCTGGTCTTAATCCAGAGATTGCAGTCCATAAGCTTGCAATTCACCCTGAGAAACGGCCAGTTAAACAGCCTCAGAGGCGAACTCGACCAAAGCTTATAGCCCAAATTGAAGCCGAAGTCGACAAGCTTATCAATGCAGGATTCATCAGGGAAGTTAAATATCCAACCTGGCTAGCAAACATAGTGCCAGTCAAGAAAAAGAATGGTCAAATCAGGGTTTGCATTGATTTTTGTGATCTCAATGAGGCTTGTCCTAAAAATGACTTTCCTTTGCCCATCACTGAACTTCTTGTAGATGCAACTACTGGGTATGAAACCTTGTCTTTTATGGATGGATACTTAGGATACAATCAAATTCGAATGGCACCTGAAGATGAAGAAATGACTGCATTCAGGACTCCGAGAGGAGTCTTTTGCTATAAGGTAATGCCTTTTGGCCTGAAAAATGCTGGGGCCACGTATCAAAGGGCGATGACTGTAATTTTTGGTGATATGCTCCATGACACCATCGAATGCTATGTTGATGATCTTGTCGTCAAGACAAAGGAAAAGGAAAACCATGTGGAAGATTTGAGAAAAATCTTCAAACGTTTGAGGAGGTACAAACTCAAGATGAACCCACTAGAATGTGCATTTGGAGTTTCATCAGGAAAATTTCTAGGGTTTGTGGTTCGAAACAAAGGGATTGAAATTGACCCTACCAAGATTAAAGCCATTGCTGAAATGCCTCCTCCACGAAATTTAAGGGAATTGAAGGGGCTACAAGGGAGATTGGCCTATATCAGAAGATTTATTTCTAACTTGGTTGGTCGATGTTTGCCATTCTCAAGATTGATGAAAAAGGGTGATCCATTTGAAAAGGATCAGTAGTGCCAAAATGCTTTTAATAGTATTAAGGAGTATCTTTTGAAGCCTCCAGTACTCATGAGCCTAATAAAAGGGAAACCACTTTTGTTGTACATAACAGCCTTGGATGGTTCGTTAGGGGCACTGTTGGCACAACATAATGAGCATGGGAAAGAAAATGCCTTGTATTACTTGAGTCGTACTTTGGTTGGGGCAGAAGTCAATTACTCTCCTATCGAAAAGACATGTCTTGCCTTGGTGTTCGCCTTGCAAAAACTAAAGCACTATGTCTTGGAACACGAAGTCAAGTTGATATCAAGAGCAGACCCCTTGAAATATACACTTTCACGGCCCATACTTTCAGGGAAAATTGCAAAGTGGGCTGTAATTCTCCAACAATTCGCAATTAAATATGTTCCCCAAAGAGCTGTAAAGGGGCAGGCTCTAACAGATTTTTTGGCAGCACATCCTATACCTGATGACTCACCTCTAGTAACTGATTTACCAGATGAAGAAGTTATGCAAGTAGAAATTCAGAAAGGATGAGAGATGTATTTTGATGGAGCTTCAAGGAGTCCAGATGGCAAAAAGCAAGAAAATCCTAAAAACAATAAAGCTGGAATTGGAATTGTGTTTGTGACTCCAGACAATGCTATAATCACCCATTCTTTCGCCTTAAGTGAAGGATGCTCCAATAATGAGGCAGAATATGAAGCTGTAATTGCTGGATTAGAATTGGCATTACAAATTCCTATTGAAGAACTCTCAATTTATGGAGATTCGGAACTGGTGGTAAAGCAACTCCATGGAGAATACATTGTTAAGAAAACAAGTCTCATCCCGTATCACGAAAGGGCTGATCAATTGCTTTCGCAATTCAGGAAAACACACATTTTCCATGTGAAGAGAAGAACAAATGCTCGAGCTGATTCACTTGCAAGTTTGGCTGCATCACTCACCCTACCAGATAGCAAAACAATTACTATCACGATAGGTGAAAGAAGGGTGTTACAACCTTTAAAAGAAGTTTCTGACTTGGTTCCAATCTTGGTCGTCACCACGAAAGGAGAAAACGATGAGGATTGGCGGGAACCATTCATTACTTACCTCCAACATGGTAGGCTACCTGAAGATAAAGTAAAAAGAATTGAAGTGAGATGCGGGGCTACCAAATTCGTCCTGTGGAAAGATGGAACGTTATACAAAAGGTCTTTGGATGGAATGTACATGCGGTGTATAGCCAAGGAGCGTATTCAAGAGGTAATGGCAGAAACACATGCAGGTGTATGTGGGGCACACCAAAGTGGTCCTAAATTACATATGCAGCTAAAACGGTTGGGATACTATTGGCCGACTATGATTGCAGATTGAATAGATTATGCTCGAAGGTGCCAAGTCTGCCAATTCCATGGGAACTTTCTCCACCAACCCCTAGAGCCTTTACATTTAACAACTTGTTCTTGGCCATTTGCAGCATGGGGTATGGACATTATTGGTCCTTTTGTACCTCCATCTTTAGCAGGATATCGATACATCCTAGCTGCAACTGACTATTTCTCAAAATGGGCAGAGGCCGTGGCTTTAAAGGATATAAAAAGCACAGTTGTCTCTGAGTTCATCCAAACCCATATCATTTACAGGTTCGGAATTTCAGAAAGTATCATCATGGATAATGGACAGCCATTCAGGAGTGATGCTTTGAACAAGTTATTTACCAAGTACAAAATCAAAAACAACCATTCATCAAGATATCATGCACCTGCCAATGGTTTGGCAGAAGCTTTCAACAAGACATTATGCAAACTTCTTAAGAAGATGGTGGATAAGAACAAAAAAGCTTGGCACGAAAAGTTACAAGAAGCTTTGTGGGCTTATCGGACTTCGCACAGAACTCCTACTCAAGCAACCCCTTATTCGTTGGTTTTTGGAGGAGAAGCTGTGTTACCACTTGAGGTTCAAATACCATCATTAGGAGTGGCAATACAAGAGTCCTTAACAGAAGATGAAAGTGCAAGAGTGAGGTTGGCTGAGTTGGAGGCCCTGGATGAAAGAAGGTTGTATGCTCAACAGAACTTGGAAATCTACCAACAAAGGATGGCAAATGTATTCAATAAAAGAGTGAGGCTTTGTTCCTTTAAAAAGGAAGACTTGGTACTAATGGTTAGAACACCCATAGTAGTCTCACGAAGAACCAAAGGCAAGCTTGAGCCCAAATGGAAAGGACCTTATGTGATTGAGAAGGTTTATTTTAATGGGGCCTATTTCTTGATAACGATGGATGGTGACAGAATCATTCCCCCAACCAATGCAAGGTTCTTGAAGAGATATTACCCTTAAGAAAGCCTGCTAAGTTGAAAATCCGAAAGGGCGGCCTAGGCAAAAGTTAGGGCAAAGAAAAAAAAAAAAAAAAACAACCCACCAACGGTATTGTATGTGGTTAAACTGCTAAAACATCCCACAAAAATCTAAGGTGGCAAAACATTGGATACTCCTGGCCCGCAAGAGTATAAACTGTGTACGGCCAAACAAAAGTCAAAAACCACCAACGGTATTGTATGTGTTTAAACTGCTGATATATCCCACCGAAATCTAAGGTGGTTAAACATTGGATACTCCTGGCCTGCAAGAGTATAAACTGTGTACGGCCAAACAAAAAAAAACTACCAACGGTATTGTATGTGGTTAAACTGCTAAAATATCCCACAAAAATCTAAGGTGGTAAAACATTGGATACTCCTGGCCCGCAAGAGTATAAACTGTGTACGGCCAAACAAAAGTCAAAAAAACCACCAACGGTATTGTATGTGGTTAAACTACTAAAATACCTCATCGAAATCTAAGGTGATAAAACATTGGATACTCCTGGCCCGCAAGAGTATAAACTGTGTACGGCCAAAATAAGACAAATCAATGTATTGTATTGAGAAATTTCATATAACAAATAAATCTATTGTGTACGACTTGAGGAGACTTAGGTGGAGGAGGAGACAAGTTGTGATTCCTACAAGTGGACCATGGATTTTGCAATGTTGCATGATCTGAAGAGAAAAGAGTTCCTTGAGTATGTATACATGATGAAATAAAATGAGGTACAATGAATGAATAAGAATACCCTTAAAGGTAGCCAATGGCATATGCGAGGCAGCTAGGGAAGTCCGAGGCACAGTGCCTAAGAAAATGAAAGGTATTCAAAAAAAAAAAAAAAAGAATTATACTTTTCTCTAATAGCTTGGATGGCTCGTTCGAAGGAGAAGAAAAAGCTACATTTGCTGGGGGCAATTTACTCATCTTAGTCGGTGTGCCATCTAAAAGAGGGGTGTAGTCATAAAACTCATCTTGACTCTCGCTACTTCCATTGAGAGAACAATCAAAAGATTTGGTAGGAGAAGGAATTTCAACAGTCTTAATGCGAATACGACCCAAGGCAGTTAATTCATACCCATCTCCCTCAAAGAGTTCTTGAATCATATTCTCATCTTTATCTTCAAGAAAAGAGTACAAGTATGTGCGAAATTGATCCATTGGGGTTTTGGTCGCTATGGTGGGTTATGAAGTTCCTGTACAATCACTGATAGACATAGTCTCTGGAAAAAGCTTTGCGAGACTAGAAAATACGGACTAGAATCTACTTGCTCAAAGCTAAATCTCATTTTAAATTGAGAATTACACATATCCTCGAAAAGATGAAGGAGATCTGAAACTGAGTGATTAGATCGAGAAGGAGCAATAAGTGGTCGACTATTATCCATTCTCTGAGATGATGATGCTTCCAGAGCAATAGGTGAATATGATGACCTACCTCTAGAGTAAGAGGGATTCTTCGTGTTTCGGTCATTAATTGACATATCCAGTTTTCTCTTGTGTGAAAATTTCGGCTGGGTATGAGTAACATATTGAAGCACGGTAAAGGAAGTTCCCAACCACCAATTGGCATAAGGCATGGTTACGTGAGAAGTAGATCGGGAGCCTGGTAACTCCAACGAGATTTTTGTACCGCAGCGTAGCATATGGCGTCAGTTGTAATAAAATTTAGACCACTCAAAGGGCTGCCGACAAGATACATTAAGCGGTGTAGGGCACGCTTGAGCAAGCCCCAATTGATGACCGAATTGATTAGGGGAGTACGGTTCAGAAATGAAATTAAATCCCATTTTAAAAGTTAAAATCCCTTGCCTCAAAGATATAAGATAGCCAAGATGGAAAAGTGATATCCTTTCAGAGTCGACCGGGATACCTGAAGGTTCACTTTCACGGGTAAGAGCCCTAAACTGACACTCCGTACGATATGTTAGGAGAGAGTCCACAAATGGAAATTTATCAGTAAAAAACTGGGTAGCCGATTGGTTTCCAATAAACCCAAGATATGGCATGAAATGAATATCAGGAATCAAACAAATCACTGAGGATCCCCATGAGAGTAAGTCTTGACAAAATATAGTGAAATCCATCCAAAAAGGTAATGCAAAGGACCCTGAATATTTTCCTTCCCAGGTGAAGATGATGATGCCATTTTACCAAGAGAATGATAGAGGTATGCAAGGACGGGGATGACCATGCTAAGTAAGGTTCCACCTGCCATTTTCGTGGCTACGTGAAAGGTCGTCGGACGAATTTCCCCAGAAGAGTGAGGGAAGACAAATCCGCTTAGCCAGCTCACCAAAAAACCAGAAAGATACACATCATCAGGGATTCTGTCTTTTCGTTGAAAACCACTAATTGAAGTTGGGGATTCGTCAATGAATTTGAAAGTCCAGTGGTTAAACTTCTTGGATTGAAAAGAGCTGGCATAAATGTTGAAAAGGCCAGGGCATGCCTTGGATGTCTGGGATGAATATAAAATGTCATTGGAGGGGGTGAACTCTTCATAAAACTCGCCACGGATAGGGAGCCCACTAATGCGATGAAGGTCCCATAAAGAGATCCCAAGTTCACCGTAAATGGTGTGGATAGTGTTGGTGTCAGGTGACCACCGCTCTAAGAATCCTTTGAGCAGGGCGACATTCCTAGCATAAGCAAATTGGGATACATAGATTGCAACATAAATCCCACACTTCTTCAAAGTAGGGGCAAATGTGGAAAGAACGTCATTCAACCAAAAAATCCATATAGGGGATTGCAAATGGGTAGAAATGCCACGGACATTAAAAGAATTATCCCACTTCAATTTTTCATGTTTCATTCACTTAAGAAGAGTATTAAATTCAGAGCAGTCAAGGTATAGCGACCCTGGTCTTTTCCCATTTGATTATAGTATCCGGACTTAGGTTCCGGTTATTCTGTCATTGAATAATTGTTGTTGTCGTCCTTTATTCTCTCATTTGGAGTTATAGGAAGTGTTGGGCAGGTTTGTTTCAGGTTGGTTGGGTTCGTAAACCAAGTGTTGCTGTCCAGTATTTGAGTTGGTCGCTCGAGCCAGGGATTTGTCGCTCGAGCGAGGGTTGTATTTTGTGTCTTCTGGCTCGATCCAGCTTTTATTCGCTCGAGCGAGCGACTGCGTCTGGTTTAGACCTGAGGGTAGTGCTTATTCGCTCGAGCGAGATCTTCTTCGCTCGAGCGAGCGAGGTGTATGTTTTCGAGTTCCTAGCTCGAGTGAGCATTCTGTCGCTCGAGCGTGCTCCAGGGTTGCAGACCTGAAGCATTGCATTCTTGGCTCGAGCGAGATTTTCTTCGCTCGAGCGAGGTTTTCTTGTGTGGTCGCTCGAGCGACCATGTATTCGCTCGAGCGACCATGTATTCGCTCGAGCGAGCCTGTCCAGTTTATATACGTAGCAGCGGGTTTTGATCAGTCTTTTTCATCTTCTTTTTTATTCCAAACCCTAGGTTCGACTTCTCTCTCTCCCTACTCACCTTCTCTCTTAGGTTTGATCTATTTAGAGTGTGTTTCTACCCTAGTTGCTTTATTAAAAAGATAGAGGGAGTCGAGGGCTTTCATTTAATCTGAACATTTGGCGATTTGGAGCACATTGGTATTTGGGTATTCATCTCTGTCTTCTCCATTTGGGTTGTTTTCTTCGAGGTAGGGATTTCCTACTCCATGTTATAAGTTTTGTTCTAAGTATTGGTATATTGATATGTTGGGGTTACTTTGATAATTTTGGGAAAAACCCTAGTTGTATTAATTAATTAATTTGTATAATTAATTAAAAGGAATTGGGGAAATATGGTTAAATTCATGGAATTGAGGAATTCATTGATTAAGTGGTATAGTTGGATAATTTAAATCACTCACCTATTGAACTGTTGATATAATTATTTTCAGTTTAGAAATAATTGTTTTGGGCTATCGGTAGAGGATAGCTATGATTGTTGTAGACACTGCATGTGGATTAGGGATAACTGAAACTAATCATTGATTAAGTCATCAATTGTGACTGTTGAATTAATACAGACATTATGTGTATTGATTGTGTGTTGTATATGTTATGTGTTTACATACATTGTTTTGTGTGGGAGGAGATAGGGGATGTACTCCACGGTTTAGGGGAAGATAGGGGATGGACCTCTAAACCGGATTTTGTTTGGGAGGAGATAGGGGATGGACTCCATTAGCATCACTTTTATGTGTGCTTATTTATATAGAAGTGTTTTATTGATACAGCACTAAAATGTGTATCAATCTGGAAGTACGAAGTGTTTTGATTTGAGCTTGAGTCTCATTTGTTTGTTGACATTGGAAGAATGTGAATATGATATATATATGTAATTCACTGTTGTAAGTTTGGCCAGGTTCTGAGCCATATTGATAATGTTGGAAAGAGGAACGTGTCATAAACATTAGTGTCATAAGACTGTATAATGATGTAATTGATTATCTTTGTTAACCATCTATTGAATGCTATTGCTTTATTCATGAATATAAAATGTCATTGGAGGGGGTGAACTCTTCATAAAACTCGCCACGGATAGGGAGCCCACTAATGCGATGAAGGTCCCATAAAGAGATCCCAAGTTCGCCGTAAATGGTGTGGAAAGTGTTGGTGTCAGGTGACCACCGCTCTAAGAATCCTTTGAGCAGGGCGACATTCCTAGCATAAGCAAATTGGGATACATAGATTACAACATAAATCCCACACTTCTTCAAAGCAGGGGCAAATGTGGAAAGAACGTCATTCAACCAAAAAATCCATATAGGGGATTGCAAATGGGTAGAAATGCCGCAGACATTAAAAGAATTATCCCACTTCAATTTTTCATGTTTCATTCTCTTAAGAAGAGTATTAAATTCAGAGCAGTCAAGGTCTTCAGAAAATGGATGGAGGATTGAGACAGGGAATGAACCGAATAATGCATGTCAATGATATATATAATGGGTTAATTTTGAGGGCGTTACACAAGGT